TTATGATGCAACTAGGCTCGAAAATGAATGTGACTTCTTCTCTGGTTGTACAATAACCATGAGATACTGTTTTGGTGGTGGGGAGGAGGATAAAGTTAGGGAGCGGTGGGGGGAGCGTATGTGAGTCCAGAAGATGATATCCATATAAAATTCTTTTATTTTTTGTTATTGTTAATTTCTTCTTCCTTCTTTATTGTACTTTTATATTTTGGTTTTTCATTTTTCTATTACTTTGAAAGAAATAAAGACAATTGACTTGAATACCTTTAAACAATAAATCACGTGCATGGTGACACATGACCTTTTAACAGAATTTGTCACGAAAACTACTCAAAAGGTTCAATGTTCCACCAATTATGTAAGTTTATAAAAGTGGTCTTCAAAAAAAATTTAAGAATTAGGATCTAAGTGAAATGTTCGTGAATGTTTGGGGACCTAGTGCAAATTTCCCTTCAATCTATAAAGATAACGGTTGCGCGGAAAAGCTGGTACTTCACACTTCACCCCAGAGTACTTTTTTGTCATTTTCAGTCCATACTACGTTTCCTCTCATAAACAAATTTTATCTATAATCTATAATATATTAAATATCTCATCAAGTGAGAATCATTTTTGGACAATTTTAACCCTACCACAATTTGATTATTTCAATAGTATCTCACTTTTCGTTTTTCAATATATATTTAATTGAATATTAATTATTAAATATGGACGCAAATAAATAATTGAATTGTATGAGAACAATCAAATTGATTCATGAACATTGAATTTAATTAATTTGAATCAATGAATATAGAAAAAGAATAATGTATATACATTTAACAAAGGAGATGTAAGTAAACAAACATGAAATTTAATCAATTTGAATTAATAGATATAGAAAAATAATAATTTATATACATTTAAATAAAGGCAATGTAAATGAACCAACATGAAATTTAATTAATTTGAATCAATGAATATAGAAAAAATAATAATTTATACACATTTAGACAAAATGGCGTATATATCATATATTAAAAGAATGATATTGAAATAAAATAAGTATACATGAACTTGAATAATTTATCTACTCCTATAATAATTGAATAGCTCCCAAATTATATGATTTTTAATAATTTATATACTCCTAGAATAATTTATGATTAAATGAATAATCTTGAAAATAAATACGTGTTCATATACTTGAATAATTTATTTACTCATAGAATAATTGAATAGCCATGAATTTTGGGGGCTATTCCATGTACACTTTATATATTTTTGGTGATATTCAATTATTGTAGGAGTAAATACATTATTTAAATTCATGCAATCTAATTCTTAGTAAGACATTTACGTAAATGCATGGATGCAAAGTGATAATTATAATTTTGAGTACATTGATTTAAATAAATGCATGCACGCTTGCACAATTTATGTAGCCAAAGTTAAGTACACACTAAGCCCTGTTTTTCTACCATCAATCCAAAAAATTGTTTGATACAGTAAGATTCTCTACCACACATTCACCCAATAAAATATTCTACACATAAACCAATAAAGTTACTTTAATTTTCAATCACACATTCTCCAAAAAATACTATTCATTACACTAATTTTCTCCCAATAATAGGAGACAAACAAGCTCTAAATATATATACTTTATTCTTTTCAATTATTTATTCACATACACTTACGTAAATGCATGCATGGATGCACAGTGATCAATATAGATTGAGTACATTGACCTAAATAAATGCATGCATGCATGCACAATGATAATTATAGATTGAGTACATTGACCTAAATAAGTACATTGACCTAAATAACTGCATGCATGCACAATGATAATTATAGATTGAATACACTTACCTAAATAAATGCATGCATGCACAATTTGTATAACCAAAGCCACGTGCACACCCCCGCTACATGTATATAAATTATTATATTTCTACATTCATTGTTTCAAATTAATTAAATTTCATGTTAATGAATTTATTTGATTGTTCTTATGAGTTCTATATTTAAAATGAATTCATCTCTCAACTATTTAAATTGTTTTCACAAATTGATTGTTGTTACATTTGAACCATCAAATAATTAGCTATCGCACATCATGGAATCAAAATCTATAAGAGAATTATTGGCGTATGAAAATGAATGGTCCATTGAAGTGACTGTTGTTCAAAAAGGTTTGGTCAAATCTTATTCCAACAATAATGGAAAATTTGATATTTTGAAGCTCATCCTAATTGATAATGAGATAATATATCTACCACGATGACCCTTATATTTAATATTTTTGAATTCATTTTAGAGGTCCAAATACTTCCATGGCATAAATATTTCATGTCCTCCATATCTTTACGTGTTTCTAAAACCGGGATTAAAAAGTCAAAAAAAGGTGAGGTTTCTTTGTTGATGGACTTGGAGGAATGGCAAAACATTTCTATATCGTGCATTACTTGCTGAAATAAGATCACACGGTATGATAGCATTTGCAACGACAACTTCTGGAGTTGCTGCTTCAATAATGCCTGGAGGCCGAACATCTCATTCAAGATTCAAGATTCCGTTGCAAGCAAACGAATCAACAATATGCCATATATCAAAGCAAAGCAGCCAAGCCGAACTTATTTGACAAGCAACACTCATTATATGAGATGAAGCTCCAATGGAAAAGAGAGCAACAATTGAGGTCGTTGACAAAACTTT